TTATGTATCCTGGGTCTACTGGTTGTATGAATTTGGAATCTATCGTCCCATAACTGTCCCAGAGTCAGTTTGGAATAGGCTATTTCTTTCTCGAGAAGCTGACCAATAGAATAGGTCAACTTTTCTACTATGAGGGATAGTAGCATGACATAGGCTACCCACTGAGAACACAGACGTCAAGTCAACGTCTATTCCACGTTGGTTCAACGTAATTTCAATGAAATGACGTGAAACAATGTTGATTCAACCAGTGTGTGCCAGCTGGGTATGATATTGCTGTTCGTTACTCGTCTTGTTGGCTGAGGAAAAGTAAATGTTATTATAACACCTTCAAAGTGCGCATTGGAATTCAGTAAGAAGGACGCACGCCGTTGCATCCCCGAGTTGCATGTTCTGTTAAAATGAATTAGCATCATCTAAATGTGATTTCTGTCATTCTGATCACGGTGGGTGGACGCCCTAATCAGGTTATGCATCCAATCCATATGGGTCCGGTAAATGTCTAGAATGTCCGGTAAATTAAAATGCTGCCTAACGGGAAACGCTGACACACACACCCACACACAACACACACACACACAAACAACACACACACACACACACACGGACACAACACCACCACAAACCCCACCACACACACAACAACCACACACCACACACACATACACACACCCAAACAACACACCAGCACACCCAACACAAAACAGTTAGCACACACACTGTAACACATGTGCAGAGATAGAGTAGAGAGAAGTCCTGAGCAATCGTTGGGTTCTTGATGTTTATACTACATGTAACACCTGCGTTAATTATTCTGTAAACTTTTATAATCAGTCAGTTATAAGGTTACCTACCACTGTTGTGGTTTACACACTGTATTTTCATACATACGTAACTGTGGGGTTACCAACCACTGTGTGGTGGGTTAATACTTGTCTGTGGTTACTCTCTCTGTTGGTGGGATTAATAACTGTTATTGTAACACCTACTAGTGGTTAATCATAGTATGGGGGACCACCCGTATTGGGTTCCCCGATGTATGGTGGTTAATATGATTGTGGTTACTCTACGTAATGGTGGGTTTTGTACATACTGTAGGTGGGGTACCCCTACATCAGGGGGTTACCAACCATATGGGGTCCTTGTAATGGTGGGCTACACTGATGTGGGGTATACTATGTATGTGGGTTACCTAACGTAAGTGGTTACCACACACTAGGGGCACCACCACAACACACCACTGATCCCACCACACACCACAACACACACATCACACCACTACGGGTACCACCACATCAAACAACCTACATTTACCTACCACATTTTACCACCACTAGGGACCACCTCTAGGTACCTACCACGTAGTGCAGTTACACCACACTGTAACGTGGGTTACCTACAATGATGGGGACATCACTGTATGTGGGTTACCTCTCTGATGGGGGGTTATACTACTGTATTGTTACACCTCTGTAGGTGGTACCTCCTACTGTATGGTGGGTTACCTACCTACTGTATGTGGGGTTACCTACCTACTATGGTGGGGTTACCTACCTACTGTATGGTGGGGTTACCTACCTACTGTATTGTGGGGTTACCTACCTACTGTATGGTGGGTTACCTACCTACTGTATGGTGGGTTTACCTACCTTACTGTATTTGGGGTTTACCTACCTACTGTATGTGGGTTTACCTACCTACTGTATGGTGGGTTTACCTACCTACTGTATTGTGGGTTACCTATCTGTATGGTGGGTTACCTACCTACTGTATTGTGGGGTTACCTACCTACTGTAGGTGGGGTTACCTACCTACTGTATGGTGGGGTTACCTACCTACTGTATGGTGGTGTTTACCTTACCTACTTTTATGGTGGGTTTACCTACCTACTGTAATGGTGGGTTTACCTACCTACTGTATGGTGGGGTTAACCTACCTACTGTATGGTGGGTTTACCTACCTACTGTATGGTGGGGTTACCTACCTACTGTATGGTGGGGTTACCTACCTACTGTATGTGGGGTTACCTACCTACTGTATGGTGGGGTTAACCTACCTACTGTAATGGTGGGTTACCTACCTACTGTATGTGGGGTTACCACCTACTGTATGGTGGGTTTACCTACCTACTGTATTGTGGGGTTTTACCTACCTACTGTATGGTGGTTTACCTACCTACTGTATTGGTGGGGTTACCTACCTACTGTATGGTTGGGGTTACCTACCTACTGTATGGTGGGGGTTACCTACCTACTGTATTGTGGGGTTTACCTACCTACTGATGGTGGTGTTTACCTACCTACTGTATGGTGGTTTACCTACCTACTGTATGGTGGGGTTTACCTACCTACTGTATTGGTGGGGTTACCTACCTACTGTATGTGGGGTTACTACCTACTGTATGGTGGGGTTTACCTACCTACTGTATGTGGGGTTTACCTACCTACTGTATGTGGGTTTACCTACCTACTGTATTGTGGGGTTACCTACCTACTGTATGGTGGGGTTTACCTACCTACTGTATGGTGGTTTACCTACCTACTGTATGGTGGGGTTACCTACCTACTGTATGTGGGGTTACCTACCTACTGTATGGTGGGGTTTACCTACCTACTGTATGGTGGGGTTTACCTACCTACTGTATGGTGGGTTTTACCTACCTACTGTATGGTGGGATTTACCTACCTACTGTATGGTGGGTTTACCTACCTACTGTATTGTGGGTTTACCTACCTACTGTATTGGTGGGTTGAACCTACCTACTGTATGGTGGGGTTTACCTACCTACTGTATTGTGGGGTTACCCTACCTACTGTATGGTGGGGTTACCTACCTACTGTATGGTGGGGTTTACCTACCTACTGTATGGTGGGTTTACCTACCTACTTATTGGTGGGTTTTACCTACCTACTGTATGGTGGGTTTACCTACCGACTGTATTGTGGGGTTACCTACCTACTGTATGGTGGGGTGTTACCTACCTACTGTATGGTGGGATTACCTACCTACTGTATGGTGGGTTACCTACCTACTGTATGGTGGGATTTACCATACCTACTGTATGGTTGGGGTTACCTACCTACTGTATGGTGGGGTTACCTACCTACTGTATGGTGGGGTTACCTACCTACTGTATGGTGGGTTTACCTACCTACTGTATGGTGGGGTTACCTACCTACTGTATGGTGGGTTACCTACCTACTGTATGGTGGGGTTACCTACCTACTGTATTGTGGGTTTACCTACCTACTGTATGGTGGGGTTACCTACCTACTGTATGGTGGGTTTACCTACCTACTGTATGTGGGTTACCTACCTACGTATGGTGGGTTACCTACCTACTGTATGGTGGGTTTACCTACCTACTGTATTGTGGGTTTACCTACCTACTGTATGGTGGGGTTACCTACCTACTGTATTGTGGGGTTACCTACCTACTGTATGGTGGGGTTACCTACCTACGTATGTGGGGTTACCACCTACTGTATGGTGGGTTACCTACCTACTGTAGGGTGGGGTTACCTACCTACTGTATGGTGGATTTACCTACCTACTGTTGGTGGGGTTACCTACCTACTGTATGGTGGGTTTACCTACCTACTGTATGGTGGGGTTACTACCTACTGTATGTGGGTTAATACCTACTGTATGGTGGATTACATACCTACTGTATGGTGGGTTACCTACCTACTGTATGGTGGGGTTACCTACCTACTGTATGGTGGGGTTACCTACCTACTGTATGGTGGGTTTACCTACCTACTGTATGGTGGGGTTACCTACCTACTGTATGGTGGGGTTACCTACCTACTGTATGGTGGGGTTACCTACCTACTGTATTGTGGGGTTACCTACCTACTGTATGGTGGGTTACCTACCTACTGTATGGTGGATTTACCTACCTACTGTATGGTGGGGTTACCTACCTACTGTATGGTGGATTTAACTACCTACTGTATGGGGGATTTACCTACCTACTGTATGGTGGGTTACCTACCTACTGTATGGTGGGTTTACCTACCTACTGTATTGTGGGTTTACCTACCTACTGTATGGTGGGGTTACCTACCTACTGTATGGTGGGGTTACCTACCTACTGTATGGTGGGTTTACCTACCTACTGTATGGTGGGGTTACCTACCTACTGTATGGTGGGGTTACCTACCTACTGTATGGTGGGGTTTACCTACCTACTGTATGGTGGGGTTACCTATCTACTGTATGGTGGGGTTACCTACCTACTGTATGGTGTCTTGGTTGTTGTTGTGTTAGCGATGATGAGATGCTAATGACTCCAGTCCCTAGCTCTGGGTGCTGGTATTAACATGCAATACCCTGTGTGGGTCTGAAGCACAGAGACTCACTCAAATGTGATTAGATGGGGGTGTGAGCACGGAAATTATGACTAAACTGACTAAATACCCACACTTTCATACAATTGTGATTTTTAGCGATTCATGCCTCAGCATGTTCTCTTTGCTGTTGAGCAGTGCCTCCCTAAGGTGGTTGACATGACATCGTTGCTAATGGTATTTGACTTGGCTGTAAGCTTCTGATAATTACCTAATAGCCTGTAACACAGAGGTTAATTACATTTAGTCTCGTTGCAGTTTAATACAATGTAGCTTGATGATATTGTGTGTGTGTTTGTGTCAGTGGAATTGAGAATAATCACTTAATCTATCTCTGTCTCTCTCTCTCTCTTTCTCTGTCTCTCTCTCTCTCTCTCTCTCACTCTCTCTCTCTCTCTCTCTCTCTCTCTCTCTCTCACTATCTCTCTCTCTCTCTATCTCTGTCTCTCTCTCTCTGTCTCACTCTCTCTCTCTGTCTCTCTCGCTCTCTCTCTCACTATCCCTGTCTCTCTCCCCCCTTTTCTCTCTCTCTCCCCCAAACTCTCTCCCTCTCTCTTTCCTGTCTGCTCTCCATTTCTCTATCCCCACTCCCCCCCCCCCTCTCCCCCCCCCCCCCCCCCCCCCTCTCTTCCCTTGTTCCTTCTCTCCAGTTGATAAGCGGAGGATCTATCATCAGTGCTGAGGCAGTATGGGACCATGTGACCATGGCCGACCGAGAGTTGGCGTTTAAGGCCGGTGATGTCATCAAGGTGCTGGACGCGTCCAATAAGGACTGGTGGTGGGGTCAGATCGACGAGGAGGAGGGGTGGTTCCCTGCCAGCTTCGTACGGGTGAGTTAGTGATACCTCACGTCACCCCAGTATCCTGACTACCCCGGTTCACACTATACACATGTAGGATCGATCATTTGAGCCAGTTTGCTACAGCAGGAAAATAATCCTGCAGCAACAGGAAATGTGCATTTTTATGTGGATTATAATTCATGGACATTTTTGTAGGGGTTGATACATTTTTCGGGAAATCAAGTCTGAAAGTGTAAATGACATGAAGCTTTACATTTAAGTTTTAAGTTCTCCTGCAACAGGGTGATCAAATAAATATCCTACATCTGTAGGGCAAAGCCGAGCCGAGCCGATCCATACTGGGCTGGCCTGGTAACGCATCTACTTTAGTAGCTGGAACCCTGCTGAACAGTGTGATATCCAAGCCAGTGCAGTACACTTCCTGTTAGCTTCATACATCACCTGGTAAAGGCTACACGCACTACAGCTAAAGAGTTCATACACTACCTAGTAAACAGTTCCTGCTTAACTGGGTAAAGGCTTCATACAATACCACGTAAAGGCTTTCTCCAGACTCCCAACCCCATGTCCAGGGGCTGAACCAATTTCTCCCAACCACCCCCACCTTTCCATCCATTGAGTCGATCCAGGCATTGAGTGAACCGGTGTGTTTCTGTCATTCTCTCTCTCTAAGGTCGAACCCCACCCTCCTCAACCCCAAACAAAACAGGTTTTCTATATCAACCCCATAGCAACTCCTCGGTTCCAAAACACTACGTCTAAGGTGCGTTTCCCCAACATCATCAATCAACCATCCAGCCATAACACCCCACCACCCACCGCTCAGTCTACCAACGCAACGTCTCCCAAACATTACCCAACCAATCAACCAACGCACATCTAACGTTTCCATAACCTCAGTCACAAGATTGGGAATCATCAAAACAGGATTGATCTATTATAGAGAAATTACAGCCTTCTGTAAGAATGTTTTTTTTTTCTGTTTTCTATTTACTCTTATTTATTTACTAATTTTATAGTCTGTTTATAACTGAGTATTCGTATGGCACCCTTTTTACCTACAGTGGGGAAAAAAAGTATTTAGTCAGCCACCAATTGTGCAAGTTCTCCCACTTAAAAAGATGAGAGAGACCTGTAATTTTCATCATAGGTACACGTCAACTATGACAGACAAATTGAGAAAAAAAAATCCAGAAAATCTCATTGTAGGATTTTTTATGAATTTATTTGCAAATTATGGTGGAAAATAAGTATTTGGTCACCTACAAACAAGCAAGATTTCTGGCTCTCACAGACCTGTAACTTCTTCTTTAAGAGGCTCCTCTGTCCTCCACTCGTTACCTGTATTAATGGCACCTGTTTGAATTTGTTATCAGTATAAAAGACACCTGTCCACAACCTCAAACAGTCACACTCCAAACTCCACTATGGCCAAGACCAAAGAGCTGTCAAAGGACACCAGAAACAAAATTGTAGACCTGCACCAGGCTGGGAAGAATGAATCTGCAATAGGTAAGCAGCTTGGTTTGAAGAAATCAACTGTGGGAGCAAATATTAGGAAATGGAAGACATACAAGACCACTGATAATCTCCCTCGATCTGGGGCTCCACGCAAGATCTCACCCTGTGGGGTCAAAATGATCACAAGAACGGTGAGCAAAAATCCCAGAACCACATGGGGGGACCTAGTGAATGACCTGCAGAGAGCTGGGACCAAAGTAACAAAGCCTACCATCAGTAACACACTACGCCGCCAGGGACTCAAATCCTGCAGTGCCAGACATGTCCCCCTGCTTAAGCCAGTACATGTCCAGGCCCGTCTGAAGTTTGCTAGAGTGCATTTGGATGATCCAGAAGAGGATTGGGAGAATGTCATATGGTCAGATGAAACCAAAATATAACTTTTTGGTAAGAACTCAACTCGTCGTGTTTGGAGGACAAAGAATGCTGAGTTGCATCCAAAGAACACCATACCTACTGTGAAGCATGGGGGTGGAAACATCATGCTTTGGGGCTGTTTTTCTGCAAAGGGACCAGGACGACTGATCCGTGTAAAGGAAAGAATGAATGGGGCCATGTATCGTGAGATTTTGAGTGAAAATCTCCTTCCATCAGCAAGGGCATTGAAGATGAAACGTGGCTGGGTCTTTCAGCATGACAATGATCCCAAACACACCGCCCGGGCAACGAAGGAGTGGCTTCGTAAGAAGCATTTCAAGGTCCTGGAGTGGCCTAGCCAGTCTCCAGATCTCAACCCCATAGAAAATCTTTGGAGGGAGTTGAAAGTCTGTGTTGCCCAGCGACAGCCCCAAAACATCACTGCTCTAGAGGAGATCTGCATGGAGGAATGGGCCAAAATACCAGCAACAGTGTGTGAAAACCTTGTGAAGACTTACAGAAAACGTTTGACCTGTGTCATTGCCAACAAAGGGTATATAACAAAGTATTGAGAAACTTTTGTTATTGACCAAATACTTATTTTCCACCATAATTTGCAAATAAATTCATAAAAAATCCTACAATGTGATTTTCTGGATTTTTTTTTCTAATTTTGTCTGTCATAGTTGACGTGTAACTATGATGAAAATTACAGGCCTCTCTCATCTTTTTAAGTGGGAGAACTTGCACAATTGGTGGCTGACTAAATACTTTTTTTCCCCACTGTATATAGTGCACTACTTTTTAACAGAGCCCTATAGTCCCTGGTCGAAAGTAGTGCACTATAAAGGGAATAGGGTACAATTTCGGAACACACTCTTCCACATTAGCACAGTAGCACCAGTTGTCTCCACCCGTCTCTCTGCTTGTTGTTGTGAAGCTGCATGGCATCGTGTGTTTGGCATTACAACTGTCGCCTCTTTGATGTTCAGTAGGCACACAGTGTTTGATCATCAGGTGTTTGCTAAGCTACCGTAGCAGGCATCTGATCACCTCTAACCTACCTCTAACCTACCTCTAACCTACCTCTAACCTACCTCTAACCTACCTCTAACCTACCTCTAACCTACCTCTAACCTTCCTCTAACCGACCTCGAACCTACTCTAACCTACCTCTAACCATCTCAACGACGCTAACCCCCCTCTAACCTACCTCTAACCTCCCTAACTACCTCTAACCTACTCTAACCTACCTCTAAACCTACCGCTAAACCTACCTCTAACCTTCCTCTAACCTACCTCTACCTACCTCTAACCTGACCGCTTAACCTACCTCTAACCTACCTCTAACCTACCTCTAACCTACCTCTAACCTACCTCTAACCTACCTCTAACCTACCTCTAACCTACCTCTAACCTACCTCTAACCTACTCTAACCTATCTCTAACCTACCTCTAACCTACCTCTAACCTACCTCTAACCTACCTCTAACCTACCTCTAACCTACCTCTAACCTACCTCTAACCTACCTCTAACCTACCTCTAACCTACCTCTAACCTACCTCTAACCTATCTCTAACCTACCTCTAACCTACCTCTAACCTCCTACCCCCTACCGAACTACTCTTACCTACCTCTAACCTCTAACCTCCTAACACCAGCGTTTTGAGCTGCCGACCGTGTGTGGCTATACAGACTCAATGCTGAAAACTCAACTCTCTTTGACTATCGGAATACCTCCGAACTACCTCCATCTCTGTCCTACTCTAACTTCTCTCTCCTACTAACCCAGTGTTTTTTGTGTGTGTGTCTGTCTGTCTCCAGCTCATGCTGGAACAAAGGTCCCTTTGACTTGCGAAACATTCGCTCTCACATCTCTGCTCTCTCTCTCTCCTCTATCTCTCTCTATCCTCTGGTCTCTCTCGTCTCTCTCCTCTCTTCTCTCTCTCTCTCTCTCTCTCTCTCTCTCTCTCCTCTCTCTCTCTCTTCTCTCTCTCTCTCTCTCTCTCTCTCTCTCTGTCTGTCTACTCTCCTCTCCTCTGAGCCTCAGAGCTGCCAACTGCAACCTGAAACTGGAACAAGTGATTAAAAGATGTCTGGAAGAGGAAGAATGTTTCCTGTGTTAAAGCCCTCTGATAGTAGTATGTAGTCATCATTTTATCTCCTGTTCAGGAGTGTGTGTGTTGGTCTCCTCAGCTGTGGGTGAACCAGGAGGATGGGGGGGTGGAGCCTGCGGAGGGGACCAGCGAAGTGGCTAACGGTCACCTGGATCCGACCAACGACTGCCTGTGTCTGGGCTCGCCGCTTCAGAACCGTGACCAGATGAGAGCCAACGTCATCAACGAGATCATGAGCACAGAGAGACACTACATCAAACACCTCAAGGACATCTGTGAGGTACACAAACACACAAACACACACACATACATACGTGCACACATGGGAAAACGCATGCATGCACGCACAAACACACACAATACACCACGCACACACACACACACAAACACACACACAAACACACAAGCACACACACAAACACACACACAAACATGCAAGGGTACTTGATCTCTCTTGGAACAGTAGTCTAATTGTGGTGAATTGATTATAGCAGTAGTGTTACTGTGGTGAATTGATTATAGCAGTAGTCTAACTGTGGTGAATTGATTATAGCAGTAGTCTAACTGTGGTGAATTGATTATAGCAGTAGTGTTACTGTGATGAATTGATTATAGCAGTAGTGTTACTGTGATGAATTGATTATAGCAGTAGTGTTACTGTGATGAATTGATTATAGAAGTAGTGTTACTGTGGTGAATTGATTATAGAAGTAGTGTTACTGTGGTGAATTGATTATAGAAGTATTGTTACTGTGATGAATTGATTATAGCAGTAGTGTTACTGTGATGAATTGATTATAGCAGTAGTGTTACTGTGATGAATTGATTATAGAAGTAGTGTTACTGTGGTGAATTGATTAAAACTAGACTCAACCTGCTTTCATGCTTCTCTCCAGGGATATATGGGAGAGTACAGGAAAATATGTTGAAATGTGGGAACCCACACACCAGCACACACACACACACACACTCAGACACAAACACACTCAGACACACACACACTCAGATACACACAAGCATGCGCACAGACACACACACACACACACACACACAATCCTTAGCTCATTCCCAACCTATTTAAAACCCTTTCTTCCAGGGCTACCTGCGTCAGTGTAGGAAGAGGGTAGACATGTTTAACGATGACCAGCTGAGGGTGATTTTTGGGAACATCGAGGACATCTATCGTTTCCAGATGGGCTTCGTTAGAGACCTGGAAAAACAATACAACAATGAGGAACCACACCTGTCTGAGATAGGACCCTGCTTTCTAGAACATGTAAGTTACTACCTAGATAGGACCCTGCTTTCTAGAACATGTAAGTTACTACCTAGCAAGGACCCTGCTTTCTAGAACATGTAAGTTACTATCTAGATAGGACCCTGCTTTCTAGAACATGTAAGTTACTACCTAGCAAGGACCCTGCTTTCTAGAACATGTAAGTTACTATCTAGATAGGACCCTGCTTTCTAGAACATGTAAGTTACTCCCTAGATAGGGCCCTGCTTTCTAGAACATGTAAGTTACTACCTAGATAGGACCCTGCTTTCTAGAACATGTACGTTACTATCTAGATAGGACCCTGCTTTCTAGAACATGTAAGTTACAATCTAGATAGGACCCTGCTTTCTAGAACATGTAAGTTACTACCTAGATAGGACCCTGCTTTCTAGAACATGTAAGTTACTCCCTAGATAGGACCCTGCTTTCTAGAACATGTTAGTTACTACCTAGATAGGACCCTGCTTTCTAGAACATGTAAGTTACTACCTAGATAGGACCCTGCTTTCTAGAACATGTAAGTTACTATCTAGATAGGGCCCTGCTTTCTAGAACATGTAAGTTACTACCTAGATAGGACCCTGCTTTCTAGAACATGTAAGTTACTACCTAGATAGGACCCTGCTTTCTAGAACATGTAAGTTAATATCTAGATAGGACCCTTCTTTCTAGAACATGTAAGTTACTACCTAGATAGGACCCTGCTTTCTAGAACATGTAAGTTACTCCCTAGATAGGGCCCTGCTTTCTAGAACATGTAAGTTACTATCTAGATAAGACCCTGCTTTCTGGAACATGTAAGTTACTACCTAGATAAGACCCTGCTTTCTAGAACATGTAAGTTGCTACCTAGCAAGGACCCTGCTTTCTAGAACATGTACGTTACTATCTAGATAGGACCCTGCTTTCTAGAACATGTAAGTTACTACCTAGATAGGACCCTGCTTTCTAGAACATGTAAGTTACTATCTAGATAGGACCCTGCTTTCCAGAACATGTAAGTTACTATCTAGATAGGACCCTGCTTTCTAGAACATGTAAGTTACTACCTAGATAGGACCCTGCTTTCTAGAACATGTAAGTTGCTACCTAGCAAGGACCCTGCTTTCTAGAACATGTACGTTACTATCTAGATAGGACCCTGCTTTCTAGAACATGTAAGTTACTATCTAGATAGGACCCTGCTTTCTTGAACATGTAAGTTACTATCTAGATAGGACCCTGCTTTCTAGAACATGTAAGTTACTACCTAGATAGGACCCTGCTTTCTAGAACATGTAAGTTACTACCTAGATAGGACCCTGCTTTCTATGATAGGACCCTGCAGTGCCTTCGGAAAGTATTCAGACCCATTGACTTTTTCCACATGTTGTTACGTTACAGCCTTATTCTAAAATGGATTAAATAAAACATTTTCCTCAGCAATCTACACACAATACCCCATAATGACAAAGCGAAAACAGGTTTTTAGACATTTTTTGCAAATGTATTAAAAATAAAAAACAGGAATACCTTATTTACATAAGTATTCAGACCCTTTGCTATGAGACTCAAAATTGAGCTCAGGTGCATCCTGTTTCCATTAATCATCCTTGAGATATTTCTACATCTTGTTTGGAGTCCACATGTGGTAAATTAAATTAATTGGACATGATTTGAAAAGGCACACACCTGTCTATATAAGGTCCCACAGTTGACAGTGCATGTCAGAGCAAAAAAAACAAGCCATTAGATCGAAGGAATTGTCTTTAGAGCTGCGAGACAGGATTGTCAAACTGAGCAATCGGGGGAAAGGGCCTTGGTGAGGGAGGTGACCAAGAACCCGATGGTTACTTTGACAGAAATTTTGAGTTCCACTGTGGACATGGGAGAACCTTCCAGAAGGACAACCCTCTCTGCAGCACTCCACCAATCAGGCCTTTATTGTAGAGTGGCCAGACGGAAGCCACTCCTCAGTAAAAGGCACATGACAGCCCACTTGGAGTTTGCCAAAAGGCACCTAAAGACTCTCAGACCATGAGAAACAAGATTCTCTGGTCTGATCAGACCAAGATTGAACTCTTTGACCTGAATGCCAAGAGTCACATCTGGAGGAAACTTGGCACCATCCCTACGGTGAAGCATGGTGGTGGCAGCATCATGCTGTGGGGATGTTTTTCAGCGGCAGGGACTGGGAGACTAGTCATGATCGACACAAAAATTTACGGAGCAAAGTACTGAGAGATCCTTGATAAAAACCTGCTCCAGAGTGCTCAGGATATCAGACTGTGGCGAAAGTTCACCTTCCAATAGGATAACGACCCTAAGCACACAGCCAAGACAACGCAGAAGTGGCTTCGGGACAAGTCTCTGATTGTCCTTGAGTGGCTCAGCCAGAGCCTGGACTTGAACCCGATCGAACATCTCTGGAGAGACCTGAAAATAGCTGTGCAGCGACGCTCCCCATCCAAGCTTGAGAGGATCTGCAGAGAAGAATGGGAGGAACTGCCCAAATACAGGTGTGCCAAGCTTGTAGCGTCATACCCAAGAAGACTCGTGGCTGCCAAAGGTGCTTCAACTAAGTACTGAGTAAAGGGTCTGAATACTTATGTAAATGTGATATTTCCGGGTCAATTATTATTTTATTTTTTAGCAACAAATAAAAAAAAACTGTTTTGGCTTTGTCATTATGGGATATTGTGTGTAGATTTATGAAAAAACAAAATTTTGTCAATTTTAGAATAAGGCTGTAATGTAACAAAATGTGGAAAAAGTCAAGGGGTTTGAAAACTTTCCGAATGCACTGTAGGACCCTGCTTTCTAGAACATGTAAGTTATTAAACTCAACACCAAGATGATTGGAAGAATGGCGCCGGAGGGGATGGCTGCCGTTTTACGGGCTCCTAACCAATTGTGCTATTTTGTGTGCTTTTTCACATTGTTTGTAACTTATTTTGTACATAATGTTGACGCTACCGTCTCTTATGACCGAAAAGAGCTTCTGGATATCAGAACAGCGATTACTCACCTCGAACTGAACAAAGATTTGTTCTTTAATGAGTCTGACGCAAAGGATATAATGTTGCTCTCAGACAAGGCCCAAATCCCTGTCATTCGCATGAAGAAAATAAGGAGATACAGGGGGCGCAGATCAGGGTGCCTTGTGAGAATAGGTCGGCGAGTGGGTAACCCACTGTCACGCCCTGACCTTGAGAGCCCGGTTTTCTCTAGTTGGTTTGGTCAGGGTGTGAATTGTATGTTATGTATTTCTATGTTGGCCGGGTGTGGTTCCCAATCAGAGGCAGCTGTCGATCGTTGTCTCTGATTGGGGATCATACTTAGGTAGCCATTTTGCCTACTATTAGTTGTGGGATCTTGTTTCTGTGATTTTGGCTTGTTTGATTTATAGCCTTTAGAACTTCACGTTCAGTTGCTTTGTTATTTTGTAGAGTATTTATTATTAACATTAAACATGTACGCATACCACGCTGCACCTTGGTCCAATCCTTTACACGATGAACGTGACACCCGCCTCCACCATCCGTTCTATTGGCCAACGTGCAATCACTAGAGAATAACGGGACATTAAAAACTGTAATATCTTTATGTTTCACCGAGTCGTGGACGACGTGGATAATATACAGCTGGCTGGGTTTTCTGTGCATCGGCAGGACAGAGCAGCTATGAAGGGGTGGGGGTCTGTGTCTATTTGTCAATAACAGCTAGTGCACAAAATCTAATATTAAGGAAGTCTTGAGGTTTTGCTCGCCTGAGGTAGAGTATCTCATGATAAGCTGTAGACCACACTATTTACCAAGAGAGTTTTCATCTATATTTACCACCACAAACCGACGCTGGCACTAAGACCGCACTTAACGACGAGCTGTATAAGGCCATAAGCAAACAAGAAAATGCTCATCCAGAAGCGGCGCTTCAATGCAGGGAAACTTACATCCGTTTGACCTAATTTCTACCAGCATGTCACATGTGCAACCAGAGGAAAACATCTCTAGACCACCTTTACTCCACACACAGTGGTGCGCACAAAGCTCTCCCTTGCTCTCCATTTGGCAAATCTGACCATAATTCTATCCTCCTGATTCCTGCTTACAAGCAAAAACGAAAGCAGGAAGTACCAGTGACTCGCTCAATACGGAAGTGGTCAGATTACGCAGATGCTACACTACAGGACTGTTTTGCTAGCACAGACTGGAATATGTTCCGGGATTCATCCAATGGCATTGAGGAGTATACCACCTCAGTCACCGGCTTTATCAATAAGTGCATCGACGATGTCATCCCCACAGTGACCGTACGTACATATCCCAATCAGAAGCCATGGATTACAGGCAACATCCACACCGGGCTAAAGGCTAGAGCTGCCGCTTTCATGGAGCGGGAGACTAATCCGGACACTTATAATAAATCCCGCTATACCCTCAGAAGAACCATCAGAAACAGGCAAAGCGTCAATACAGGACTAAGATTGAATCCTACTACACCGGCTCTGACGCTCGTCTGATGTGGCAGGGCTTGCAAACTATTACGGACTACGAAGGGAAACCCAGCTGCGAGCTGCCCAGTGACGTGAGCCTAACAGACGGGCAAAATGCCTTTTATGCTCGCTTCGAGGCAAGCAACACTGAAGTATGCATGAGAGCACCAGCTGTTTGCGGGCGACTGTGTGACCTTTAAACAGGTCAACATTCACAAGGCCGCGGGGCCAGGCGGATTACCAGGACGTGTACTCAGAGCATGCAAGGACCAACTGGCAAGTGTCTTCACTGACATTTTCACTGTTCACCCACGTCTGCGTGGCCAAGCACGACTCTAACACCATCATTAAGTTTGCTGACGACACAACGGTGGTAGGCCTGATCACCAACAACGATGAGACAGCCTATAGGGAGGAGGTCAGAGACCTGGCCGTGTGGTGCCAGGACAACAACCTCTCCCTCAATGTGAGAAAGACAAAGGAATGATCGTGGACTACAGGAAAAGGAGGGCCGAACACGCCCCCATTCACATCGACGGGGCTGTAGAGGAGCGGGTCGAGAGTTTCAAGTTCCTTGGTGTCCACATCACCAACAAACTATCACGGTCCAAACAC